GGGAGATCATTGGGCGAACTTCGGAGGAGATCGGCATCATCCTTCAAGGAAGATCATCTTCAACGTTCGGCAATAGGAGCTTCCTCATCCTTGGCTATTAACCGATTTTTGGTTTAAATCAACTCTTTTTCAAGAGTTAAAACTCGTTCAGAGTTATCAACTCGTTCAGAGTTCTAAAACTTGCCACGCAAGTTCTCCACAACGTTAAATCGTGAGGAGAAGACATCGTTCCAGTGAATCAAGACGTGCGGATCGTCAACGGAGAGCAAATTCAACGCGAGCAATCGAAGGAGGCACTCCATCGCCACCGAGAAGAACCCAGTTTTAAACAAAGGAGAGAATCAAATTCGTTCTCTTCTCTTTTGTAATCAAATTGTAATCAGAAACAAAGGAAAACAAATCAATTTTCTTTGTTCTTTTCTTTGCAATTTTCCCTACTTACACCCCCTCAATCTTAAAATGAGCATTGAGTGCAGGGAGGGGTCATCCTGGGCCCATCAGCCCTCGGTCGCAGCAACATATTTCTCAACAATGTGTTCCCTTGACGTGGCCTGACAGTGCTCGACACAATCACCAACATTGGCCTCCTATACTTCCTGATTAAATGAGTTAGATAAAAATGTAATCTTGATTTTTGAGTTAGATATAAATTATTTTTTAGACCACCTTTATTTTTCGCCCAGGGCAAAAAATAATCATGGCTACGCCACTACTTCTCTTCTTAATATGTAAATAGGACATCTTCTGCTTTATTTTCCCTTGAAAAATGAAAGTCCTTGTCACTGCAAAAAACTTCAAAATACGATGAAGGTTGAGGGTTATAGTTTTATATTCTAGCAGAAAATGGTCATTGAAATAGTTCGCTTATCTCGAACCCTTAGTTTTACACGGATCTGGATGTTATTGCTCTTGTCTAGGATAAGGTTGTACATGTCCGCGTCTGATTTGTTCTCCGTGTGTCCGACTGTTCTGAATCCCAACGGACATACTCAAAATGAAAGGGCCAAATTTCATCAAATTCAATTCATGATGCTCTAATCGATGATAAAATTTATTCAAATTCAATTTATATGTCAATTAGGGGCTGTTTGGTTGTTGTTGGTAAAGTTGTGTATTTATGACACAACTTGGAAAGTTGTTGTCCACCTCATCAATTTCACTTTTATACTTTTCTTTGTTTGTTTTTTATTCCATCGGAATCATAAAACACTTGTTTGGTTTGCAAAATGTAACTTTAAAAAGTGGTTATTGTGTGGTCCCTACTCAAATGATCCTATTACCATAGGTAAACTTACCTCTCTAAAAAGAGAAAAAAATAAAAAAAAACAAACAAACAACAAATTGTTATGATCAATATATTCTATTAAGAAGTTCTTTAATCTAATAAATTAACAAACTATTGATTTTTAAAAATAAACATGTTGTACAAAATTTCACAAACCATCACATAGCTAGTATGAAATTTTGTCAGATTTCACCTAAAATAGTGCAACCATAATGTTCATTGCAACCAGTATATATTCACTATTACTAGATAAAAATAAACATAATATGATGAATATATAATAGATATCATTGCACCGAAAAAGATAAATAAATATTTTCATCTTACAATAAACCTTAGTTAATTGCTAAACACAACTAGCAAGGATGTCACTAACACTTGGCATCAAAGTTTTGGTCCAAAAAGACATCACAAGATCAGTGCATACATGCCTCAAACTACATAGGTACTTATAGTTCTCACGACAAAATACTACAACATCACAACTAAAAATAAAGTTTAGTCATCCAACCCACAACAAAAGCAAGTAAAATAAATCAAAGCCTACATTAAAGTTCAAATTCACCCAAATATTCAACAAAAGGTATTTTCTTCTATCCAAAATAACTCATCCAACCCACAACATCACAACCAAAAATAAAGTTTAGTCATCCAACCCACAACAAAAGCAAGTAAAATAAATCAAAGCCTACATTAAAGTTCAAATTCACCCAAATAAAAAGCAAGTAAAATAAATCAAAGCCTACATTAAAGTTCAAATTCACCCAAATATTCAACAAAAGGTATTATCTTCTATCCAAATTAATTCATCCCTAGCTTGAATCCTCATCATTATCATCCCCAACATTTCTATTGTTGTCTAAGCGATACTTCAAGACATGGTCTTTCATCCAAGCCACTTAAGATTCCAATGGCTTCACTATGAATAGCCTAGCTTGCTTTTTCATTATCATATAGATGATCGAGCACATGATCCAATACATGTTGTGGGAATTCACGAAGAGAATATTTGCTCTCGGCTAATTTTGCACTATAGTATTGATTGCCCTCTTTAATTCTGCATGCGATTTCTTTATTTTCTCAAGAAAACTTGTCATCTCCTCAGAATCCTCATTTCATACAAGATGACGTTTGTTTGCACGTGATGATTTGTCAATCCTAACTTTAGTTTTTGCATTTTTCGTCTTGTTAGCTTTCGCCTCCGTGGATGATCCAACTTGAATAGGAGAGCTATCATTCTTAACAGGTAAGTCAAGATAAATTACCTCATTGGCTATTCCTTCAAAATTATCGTAAGCATTCTTTTTAAACTCTCCAGTTACGAAATCATCTCCAATAATTAGCTTTAAGTCATCGTAGTGCTTCAAAGGCTTGTTCACGTAGTCCTTGAGTCTTGGATTTTTCTACAAAACAATAAGACATATAAGAAATATTTACACTAATTCCATGTCCAGTCAAAACAAAGCTAGTTGGTATATATAATTCACTATGCAATAGATGGAAAGAGAAATATTATAAATATTGTCTAGTCCGAACATATATAAACACTCAAGCTGCAGCAGCTAAAGATACACACACAGTGTGTGTATCTGCTGTAGCTGCAGATACACATGTTATGTATCTGCTGCTGCAGCAGATACACAACATGTGTATCTGCAGCTATAGCAAATACACACCGTGTGTGTATCTGCAGCTACTACAATACACACAACATGTCTCCTAGGCCTAGAAGACAGCAGCGCTTACAATCACTACAGATGTATGTTCATGTACTTTCCTCTATGCTAATCACTGATTTATTGTCTCATGTATAAAATCCAAAGGAAATATAAATAAGTCATATCAGTGAAATCTAAATTGAGTGACACTGTCATATTAGATACAAATTCCTTTAAAATTTGTCTCCATGTCTCCTAGGCCTAGAAGACAGCAGCGCTTACAACATGTGTATCTATAGCAGCAGATACACACAATGTATGTATCTGCAGAAGCTGCAGATACACATGTTGTGTGTATCTGCTGCAGCAGATACACACAACATGTGTATCTGCTGTGTATCTGTAGAAGATACACACAAATATTGTGTGTATCTGCTGCAGATACACAACATGTGTATAAAATGCAGATACACAGCGTGTGTATCTGCTGTGTATCTGTAGCAGATAAACACAAATATTATGTGTATCTGCTATAGATACACACAGTATTTGTGTGTATAAAATGCAGATACACACAGAACATGCACATTGTATTTTTTATCATTATTATATATTTTAAATTTAAATCTAAAAGCAGAAAATTAAGAAATTATTACCCTTGCCCATGTGCTATAAACATTTGGATTAAGTTTTATTGTTTTTGTTTCTTCATCCTAACCGGCACCACTGATTTCATGACATTTTTGCATGTCTAGATAACGATTCGGAAGAGTTCTATAGTGGTTTCCCACATTGTGCTTGGTAAATAACTGATGGAATTTTTCAGTACATGCTTTAGCCGTATTATTAAATGCCCTAGACCGCATACTCTTGTCACACTTTCCACCATTTCTAGCTTCATTAGCCAAGAAAGGAATGAGGAAATCATCAAGCTCATCATCCCACATGATGTTTCCAGCTTTCTTCAATTTCACAGTTTCATTAAGCTTTTTTGAAGGTGATGAAACTTCCTCATCTTTTTCACGAGCCACCCTCTTGGACTCGCCACTAGCTTCCGATGAGGGGATTTCAAATGAAAATGATCTTGGCGTTCCACTCATGGGTAAACTTTGTGATCTCATTTGTGGCATTGGTGTACCATTAAAAAATTGCATCCATGGTCCAGAAGCATAAGGAGGAGGCATCATACCTGACATAGGATTTTGGAAAAAACCAAATGAGAATGGAATTTGGGGCATTCTTCCTGTAGGGCTATTTATCAAGAAGTGTGGCATTTGAATTTCTACTCTCTTGACTCTCTTGACTATCTCTATTTTGAGAATAAAATTTCGGATAGAATGAGCCGTTTTGATTCTCCATCCCTGCTTGCAAAAACATTGTCAAATGAAAAAACAATTATCATCAAGTATCACAATAGCAAATAAATATATATATATATTAAGGAAGCCATTTTGAAATTCAAGCTCTAGGCAGCCTCACGATCATTAATTTAACTTGGAAAAATCATCAAACTTTCTACAAACACTAGTAGAAAGTTGAACAAACTAGACGGAATTTTTTTCCGTCTAGTTTGAGGTAAACTAGACGGAAACAATTCCGTCTAGTTTGATCCGTCTAGTTTGAATCAATCTAGACGGAAATTTCCATCTAGATTGACAAACTAGATGGTTTTTAATTTTTTTTAAATAAACACTCAACCTAGACGGAATTTCCGTCTAGGTTGATGCAACCTAGACGGAAATTACCGTCAAGGTTGCCCAAAAAATTAACCGCCTATTTTTTCATTTCTCCGCCTATTTTTCATTTACCCTGTCTTTTTTCTCCGTTCTCCATCTAAAAACCTCCAAACGGCCAAACTCTCTCTCTCTCCGAACCCCCAAATCTCTCCCTATCGTCTCCACGTCGGCCGCTCAACAAAACAGGGGAAGAAAATAAATAAATAAATAAATCGCCGCTTCAGACTTTAGCGGAGTGTGAGTTCTCGATGGCGATCTGCGCTCCTTCCGCGGATTCGTCGTCGGCGGGAAGCAAAAGTGGCTGGATTGTGCACGGGCGGAGTCCACATGGCCTGGGCCTCCGCTGGTTCAGTAGAAAGTCCCGGTCCAAAGTTATCAGGATTATTCCGGTCTGGTTCGCCTCCTCCCAGTTCGAGGGCAAACCCCTCGTCCTAATCCTCGGAAAACTCATGATCCAGGTACTTATTATTACCATTTTTATGAAATTGCTTCTTCTTTTCCTCTTAATTTTGAGCTCACAGAATAAAATCACATTCGTTGTTGTGTGGGAACTTTTTTTTTAATAGAGAGCAAAGCTGGCCTCTACTTTGGACCACGTTGGTAAGTTCTCAATGCCCTTTTTTGTTGTTTTAATTAATTTTGACTAATGATTCAATGACTTTTTAGCTTTGATCTCAGTTAAAATAGTGTTGTTATCTTAACTCTTAACTTTTGGTAGGATTTTGATGGAAATGACGGAGTTTTTTGTTGTATTTTATTGTCTCAGTTTTTGCTCCGTTGGTTCCGATGATTGGGTATAGAGAGGTTTTGGCGTTGTCGGGATACGTTTTGAGTAACGTGGCATTTGTGCTTGCTGCAGTTTTTCTTTACAGGTCAGTTCGGAGTTAAATGCTGCTTTTTAATGTTATGAAAGAATTTTAAGGATTCCTGTATTCAAAGATTTAGAGTTTGTTCGTGAAAGATTGAGATATACTATTTTAAGCATAGGCATTTGCTCTTCTTCCTGCGGTCGATTTTGGTTTGTTTGGTCATGTTCTTGGGAGAACAAGTTCAAGTTTTTCCTTGTTAAGTCAAATGTGGTGAGTGAAAAAGGAGCAAATTAGTTAGCACGCTGGGGTTTGATGGGTTGTGAGAATCCCCTACTTTTGCTCTTGTGTCCCGTTGTTTCGGTGGCTTCCATCTCAAGTCAGAGTTTGATGCTTATTTAGACTAGAGGAGGTCAAGCGGCAAAGTTTTCTGTATGGAATCAAATTCATTTTTTAGGCACAAAATAGCCATATGAAACTGCATCCATCCTTAACACATGCTCATACTAGATACCTGTTTAGGCTATAAATCGTGTACTTCCAGGGACATGTAGCCGTGTCCAAGCTAAAACTGATTTTTTGCTTTAAGACACAAAAGTCCATTATTTCTGTAATTAGGTTCATGAGATCAAAATTTGTCTATTACTTAAAAAATGTCTAAATTTGTTTAGGTTGTAATCTATTTACCTAATTAATTAATAAGTAATAGTTAAAGAAAGAAGTATCCAAATTGTTTTATGTCCCTTCACGGAGTTCCTATGTTGTCCAAACTCATTCAAAATGCTTAGCCTTGAAGACAAATTAGTGTTACTTGAATTTGTTGACAATTCTGAGTAATCCATTCATTTTGTTCTAACAATTTTATTGTTGACCATCACTTGGTATTTTCATCGTGTTACATATACATACATATATCTTGTTATTACCCATGTGTACATATATCTTGTTACATGTACATGAGACCATAACGCGAACATCTGTATAAAATTTATTTATTAAGAAGCTGAATATATTTATGTTGTAGAAGAATGCGGTAGATTGTGATTGATGGTTTTTAAAATTTTCAAGGCCTCACTATGATTTACCTCACTAAGATTTAGTCTCTTCTTGACATTAAAATTTGTATTTTGTTCCCACCTGATGCACCTTCAAGATATGCTTGCCATATATAACATGATCACTATACAGATGCATGTGATGTATGTGCTTTATTTGTTGGAAAGTAATAAAATTTCATAGTTAACATTATGTTTTCAGTTCTCTGGGTGATGCCTCTGTTTGCGATAGAACTGTATATAATCCTGTCCCTCTGATTTAGCTCTTTTGAATTCTTTAGATAGTCAGGCCTCTGCATGCTAAGCATTGCTCTACTTGTGACCGCTGTGTCGAGCAGTTTGATCATCATTGCTCTGCAGTTCTGGACGTAAATACTACTTGCATTCTTCTTGTAATCATGTCCGTTCTGTTGTATCTGATTAATACTCATCTGTAACTGCAGCGGAATAAATGGGATTTCTTCATGTTCCTTGTTTTAGAGGTGTCTGCCATGGTGATAACAGCTGCCATAACCATGATAAGTATGTGTATTCAAGAATGGCCTTCTTTGTGACTTTTTTCCTTGTTAAAAATAATGGTTTTTTTAAAAAACCTGTAATTAACGGGGAATAAAACTTTTTAGGAATCAAGACAAATCCAACTGCTCCACAATTTTTTGGTGCCTGGATGAACCATGCTGCTACTCATCACCCGGGAATAAGACTTCTTTGTTTCTACTTCTCTTCACATCTGTAAATTTATCTTTCTCATGGCTTTCGCGAACTCTTTCATTGTATAAATTCTTGACATGTGAAATTTAGTTATTGTCTATGTAAATAATTTATGTTTCGCTCTAGTATTTTGGTGAATGTAATATTTGAATATAATTGTATTTGATATTGAAATATAATGAGATTGTGTTGGAGATAAATATATTTGGTGTTGGATATTATATAGTGTGCAACATAGATTCCGCCAAAAAAAACTACTGTAGCAAAACCAACCTAGACGGAAATTCCGTCTAGGTTGCTACTGTAGCAACTGTGGCAACCTAGACGGAATTTCCGTCTATATTACCAACCTAGATGGAATTCCGTCTAGATTGCAACCTAGACGGTTTTTTATATTCCGTCTAGGTTGTTTTCTGTCTAGTTTGATCAATCTAGACGGAATTCCGTCTAGTTTGACCAAAACTAGACGGAATCAGAATAGATTGAGCAACCTAGACGGAAATCAGAATAGATTGAGCAACCTAGACGGATTTCCGTCTAGGTGGATCAACCTAAACGGAAAATGGAGCAACCTAGACGGGAAAATTCCGTCTAGGTTGCTCATTTTTCTACTAGTGAAATACAGATAATGAAAGAAGAGCACTTATACAAGAGATCTTACTCTATAGAAACAAAAACAAACAAATTGAATCTCCCCTACCCTACAAAACATTGTCAAAAGAAAAAACAATTATCATCAAGTATCACAAATAGCAAAAATATATATATCTTTTAAAACGATCAAATCCTACAAATCACAAGTTTAAATTCTACATAAAGCAACACTACATACCACATTGCATACATGTTGAAATGTTCAAATCCTACAAATCATAATAAAGTTTAAATTCCATAACATAGCACATTACAAACATTACATATAAATCTCAAAAAGGTGTCTCATACGTGACTCCTTTACGATGTCGATTACAATATTCAATCCACATTTATTATGCAATTTGATCTCTCTGTGACTTCCACTCTTCCCGCGTATCAAGTTGTTCTCGTTGAGTCATTTGTTGTGTATAATCAATAATGGATGCATCTTCATTCAAGATATCTCCATCCTCCTCATTTACATGCATAAACTCATTCAAGAACTTATCGTTCGGATCAATAATAGCAATATAATTATGTAAAATAGTACATGCAATTACGATGTTTACTTGACTTGGGAAAGGATGGTGAGGTTTGGTAGAAAGAATCTTGAATTGATTTTTCAAGATTCCAAATGTGCATTCTATCTTACTATGAAGTGATGAATGCCGAAGATTGAATAACTCTCGACGATTGTTAGGAACTCTTCCACTATGTTCTTTCAAGTGATATCATACAGCACGATAAGGAGCAATGAATCCCGGCATGATTGGGTATCCAGCATCACACAAATAATATTTTCCTACAATATTAATGAAGTGCATTGTTATATTACATATAACCTACTAATATATTGACTAATTTATCATCTTAATCGAAGTTTTGTTTGTCCTACCTTCGTAGACTCTCAAACCATTTGGTGGGGGCAAGGATAGTGCATCTTTAAGAATTATGAAGTAATTTGCAGCTCCCTCCCAACCAGCCATCACATATGTGAATTGTTTATTTGGTGTTACTGCAGCCAAAATATTTTGTGTGATCCCTTTGCGTCCTCTAAATTTAGGAGCATCTTTAGTTGGCATTGTTGCATCTATGTGTGTTCCATCTATTAGACCAATACAATCCTGAATAAATATATCTTTCAAGATCCTAATTAGTATCATCTCAATAGAATAGCTATAATTGTTTATAATTAATATAGGTAATTTACCTTGAAAAATGGAAACCATTGACTAGATTTCATAATTTATGCCGGAGTTTTATTTGGGGATTGTTTCATGAACCTATCCCGAAGAGAAAAAATAGCTCATAGAACTTTATTGAAACACCTGCTAATAGTCTCTGGGAACGTTAAGTCAATTCTGCAAGCCCTATTATTGGACTTGTGTCCCATTATGTAGAGAAATGTAGCTAACTGTTCTTCTATAGGAACATGAATTGTGTCCTTCAATAAGCCCCCATCTCTCATCATTTGAGCTAAGTTCATAAAAGGTCTAATACGCATCCTGAGATAGTCTTGACAACTCGATGTACTACCATTTAATATCCAACGCATATGATAATGTATGTCTAAGTCTCTTGCATACGAAGGATGACGAGGGATGTTACGTCTTTTAAGTGGACGATATTGATATCGGCGTATAAATACCATTAGCATAACTAGTACAGTAGCAACAGCAGCTGCATTGTTCATCCTACGCACAACTTCATTTCTGTCCATCTTTTATATATATATATATTGTAAGAAAGTAATTAGTTTTTGAAAGTAAGAAAGTAAAAGTAATAGATTGTAGCCTAAGAAAGTTATATACATTCAAGCTTTGAGTAAATATAACATGATTCCTGAGAAATAGTGCATGAAAAGAATAGTGCTTAAAAATTCCATACAACAAAATGTTAGAACAATATATACTTGAGATTATTTAGAGCCTCAAAACTGTGATTTATTGTTTATTTAGTTTATGTTGGGTAATTTAGTACAGTGTCAGCGGAACTACCCTCAAGAAAACGACGGAGTCGCCGGTTTTTATACCTCGATATGAATTGGAATCTTGAAAAGTATCATTAGATGGAATACATGCTCAACTGCATGCTTTACGCTACCAATAAATTCTACCAAATTCCAGCATGTAGATATTGAAACATTATTCATGCAATTAAGCAAAAAAAAATGATTTCCTATCAATAATAAACACCAATAATCAAGTTTCTATCAATTATATGTAAAAATGTACAGAATTAAATAACATTGTTCAATACGTATAAGGGAATTAGAGACTCCAAAAGAGGATCCTTTAAAAAAATAAAAGAAATATATTTTTTATACGTACAGAATAAAATAAATTTCTTTGAATATATTTTTTTATAAGTACTACCAATAAATTCTGTTCAACATGTACAGAATTAAATAATTTCTTCAAATCTAAGCACCAGATCAAACCTACTCCTTTTACTTTGGATTTGTATCCCTAGAATTAAAAACATATATTTTTTCCATACATTGGTTTTTCTTAAATCTGAGAGATACTCATCATCTAGTTCAAGCAAATAAATGAGAAAAAGGCGAAATTTGAAAGAAATACCCATTATCTGAGAGATACCCATCATCTAAGAGATACCAAATGAAGGGATGTTTACCAAATCGATAATGAATTTAAAGTTCTGTGCAAAAAAAAAAAAAACAAAAGAAATTTGAAAGGGAACTTAAAATAATAAATAAAGGTGAAATTTTTATACCTCAACCAAATCCTTTCCTCGAGCGGATCTACCCTCAAGCAAACGACGGAGTCGCCGGTTTTTTCTTCTCCGACTTGAAGTGTAGCCACGACTGAGACGAAGGCGTCGATTTTTTCTTCTTCTCCGACTTGAAGAGCAGCCAGGAGCTGAGGAAAAAGGGTGAAAAAATGAAAGCTAAGAGAAAAAAGAGGTAACCTTAGGCGCTGTTTGGTTTTTTTATTATTTTTTCTGACTTATTGTTAGCTTTCTGTCTAAATCATGTCTTTTTTTTGTGAATTGCCTTTACAAGCCATATTGACATAGTAAAACACTTTACACTATTTTCACAGTTAAAAAAAACAATTAAAAATAGAAAAACTGATATTAGGACCCACTTTTTTATACTTTCCATTCTTTTACATAGTAAAAACATACAACCAAACAGCCCCTTAGTTCATACGATCTTGTTTATACCTTTAATTTCTCGGAAAGCAGCACACTTCAATTCATTATTTTTTTATATGTGGGTCTCACCACAACCACTCACTCATGTTGTATTAAGATTTGATTCTATAATGCTAGTGGATGTTACGGTGGAATCTTATTGCACCTTTTGTCAGCATTATGATTCATATATTCCATATAATTGGTGGCTTTACAGAATTACAGTTTACACAACACATTTGAAGTAACTTTTGTTTCTAAAAGTAAATATCCGGTCCAGTGGCGAACTTACAAAATTTTCTTTAGGGAAACGGGCAACAAGCACCTATTAACTTAAAAATAAAAATATAATACTATAAAATTATAGTACTTAATGGGAACACATTCAGTGTTTTTTTGGATTTTAATGTACTGGTTCAATTTGCTGCTATAGTGTTTTAAAATAGGTCAGGGTGTAATTTTTAAGATATATGAGAGAGCATATTGTAAACATTACATGAGTTTTATATGCAATTTATAAAATTTTAGTAGTGCAGCTGCACCCCTACAGGCTGCAAATGTATCTGCATCCGCTTCTGAACCGGTCATCAAATCTCAAAAGATTTGTTATAGACGTTTGTTTGAGTTTTATATAATAATAACTGGACTTCATGCAAGTTTCTTTAAAAGATCCTTGAGATTTATCAATCCCCAAAGTTAAACCTCCAAATGCTATATTAACCTCTAATCATTGATAAAAGTCTCAATGCAAAACACGCATATTTTTATGGACCGTAACATAGATTTGAAGCCTTTTTATTTCTCATATATACTTGTAACCAAACCCTGCCTCTTCGCTATTTTGAAAGGACAGTATATATATATTTATACTGTAGCGGATTTAAGAATCACCGAAAGGACAAGGAATAAACCATCAACTCAAGCTTTTATATTATGGATGGAATACGGGATGATCCAAGCACATAAAGTTAAGGTCGTGTTTGGTTCAAATTCTATGAAAAATAGGAAAAGGAAAATATTCAAAAAGTAAATTTTTTTATATTTCTATAAAAAAATTATAGGAAATTTTTTGAGGACTTAAAAAGTTTTAACTTTCTTGTTTTTCATCATTTCTTTGTTCAGTTCAAAAGAAGAAATGGACTCATTACTTTATAAAAATAGTAAGTTTTTTTTTGTTTGGTTACATATGAAAATTTTATAGAAAAGTTTTGTTAATCTTATTCATCACTTTATAACGGCTCGAAATCAGTATAATAATAACAAAAACAGCACCAATAACTCAAATTGAGCTCAAATCGGAACCAGAAAGATCACAATACAGAGCTAAACA